GCGCCAAGGTACAGCAGCAAGAGGTCGAAGTCCTTGAGCAGAGCATGAGGGTGGTGCCACAACATGTCGCTCTCGCGGAAGACCCAGGCAAGGTAGAGAGCAAGACCAGGTTGCGAGAACAGTCAAATCAAAGCTGGAACACGTGAGCGAGCGCCCAGGGAGCGACCATCCAGGGAAACAGCCGATGAGATGAGCAGGCGCTGGCGCTGTAACAGCACGAGAAGCGCTCCGAAGAAGCCTTCGAGAGCCGTGGACCACGTGAACATGCGACCTGGGACACCAAGGACCACGTGGGGATCGACTGGGATCCTGCCGAAGAGCACTACCTTGTGCATCTGTGCCGGGCACGGCCGCGCAGCACGATGCGGCAGCCCAAAGGCCGTAGCCAGCCGAGGCTGGCAGGGGCGCCATGACGGCGCCGGCGAATGGGGGGAGGGGGCAAGAGGCGGGGAGGAACAGGGAGCGGGGAGAGGGCATCGGAGAAAGCCCGCTGCGCTGAGAGCACAGTTCAGGTATCCGGGGCCCCCAGCACTCGGCCAAGAGAGGGACGATCAGCAACTGGGCATCAGGGCGGCAAGAAGTCAAAACATCTTGGAGAGAGAAGGAGATGATGCTTGCGAGCATCACCAGCTCCAGGCCCAGGGAGGCCCACCCGCAAGCGGCCAAGCGTGTGAGAGACCAGAAACGTGTAGCGCAACCCCTACTGGCCCTGGGGCCAGGAAGGCCCACTCGCACTTGGCTGCACCTAGCAGCGTGGGAGAGACCAGGACCAGGAGAGCAAAGCCCAAGCGCAAGCTGCGGTGCGACAGGACGAGGGCAAGCAACGACCAGGCACCAGGATGATCGGGGGCGAGCGAGTCCAGGGCCGGGGGGGCCCACCGTCACCTGGACCGCGGGGTACACCGGGCGTGTCTTCCGCATCGCCAACCTCCGCGCTCGTCTGGTTCCAGGCTGGCGCGGGTCTTCAGACGTCCGTGGGCCCCAGCCTCTGCCCGGCGCGCCGCGACTGCTGGAACGTCCAGCGGCCCACCGCCAGAGACCTCTCGGAGGCTCCCAGCGCGCTCGCGGGCAGCGCCTGCCCGGTCGTCGTTGGGCCTCCACGTCTGCGTTTCGCCTCGGGGGCTGCAGGAAAGACCGCCGGGACCATCGTCGACCAGGACACCAGAACGGGCGCCGTACAGGGCGGCGTGGGCATGGCTGGGGCCAAGGGAGCAAGGCACGCCGTTTCCAGCCTCCCTTGCCAGGGCCCCTTCTGCGGGAGCACCGTCGTCGCTCTGCAGGGACGCGTATCGGCCTTCAGCCACCAGTCGGCGGATGTCGGCGGCGTCTGCCTCCTGGGAAGCGACTGCGGCCGACGCGCCGTCGTCGCCACAAGCCCCTGCCCCCCCCCACACGGCGGCCCGCGGATGGGTTCAAGACAAGCTACGCATTGAAGGTTCACCGTGCTGCCGCTCACGCCGGTGGACGAGAGGCTGGGGGCGCATGTCGGCTTTGGACCAGAGGCGGGCCGCCTCTCTCACTCTCAGCGTGCGCTCTGTCCAGTTCACGTATCAGCTATAGTCGAAATCAGGCGGATGCGCTGGCCCTGCAAAAGCCCCAGGGTCCTCGGATCAGGGGTGGCAAAGAGGGGGGTGAAGACTAGTGGGGGGTGGGTAGCATGGCGTGGGCCATGATATTTCCTCTGATTTCATGGCGCCCCTTATTATTTCATTACGTTCCTGGCCCCCCCTGCGCGGCCATGATTTGCGCCCCCCCATCTTGGCCGCCCCCGATGGGACGAGCCGGGGCGACACAGGACGGCGCGCCGCAGGTGCAGGTGCTTTTCGTCCTCAGAGGCGCCATGTTCCCCCGAGTCGGCTCCAAGTGAAGCGCCAACGCCTCCCGTGTCATGCATGAAGCCGGGCCTGCCCCTCTACAGGGGGAATATTCAAAAACAAACCAAAAATAGTCTGGGGACGATGTTTTGACTGTTCTTGTGCACCTCTTTTTTTTTCGTTCAAAATCCTCCTGTAGGGGGACATGCCCGACCTAAGTCTTGCACCAGGGTCGCCTGGGCGTCAAGGCCCCCGTCTCGCCCAGGGTCGTCTTGCTGCTCCCCCGAGTCGGCTCCGGGTGCAGTGCCAAAGGCTCCCGTGTGCTGAGCAAGGGTCCTCTGGACGTCAACGCCGCGAACGCCCTCGTCTCGCCGCGGGTCCCTCTGCTGCTCCGCGCGAAAAGCCGGAGCCGCCCGCACCATTTGCCAGGGTCGCCTGGACGCTGCGCTGGCTGCCAGGGCCAACAAAAGCCGAAACATCTCGAGTGGTAGGCAGGTGCATGTCTCGTCAGCTCGGGGGTGACAAGAAGCCGGAGCCTCTCCTGGTCGGGTCATGTGCCTGCCCACAGGGCCAGGGCGGGGCCGAGCCGGATCGGCCTCTGTGCCGGCGCACTCGGGCCAGGATTTCTCGAGGCGAGTCCAAACGCGGCGACAGGGGAAGTGCCCCCCTCCAGGATTCAGGAGGGGAAAAAGCACAGACACGAAGAATCGTCGACTCCCAGGAAAATATGGTAAATATGGGAAGTGGGGGGAAGACGAAAACCCATAAGATATAGGAAAATATGGGGAATCCTGTTATTTGTGTCTACTTATTTGTGTGTCCCAGGGCCCCTTCAAGGATCCTGTCCTCCGGGTCATGTTGCTGCCCCCCCGCGTAGGCAATAGGCCCGTGGCCCGTGGCCATCCGACGCCCCGAGGCTGCCCGGCTTGTCACCAGAGAGAGGCCCGAGATGTTCGTAAGGGAGGCCGCTTGCGTGCACCTCTCCGCAGGCACGGTTTTCTGCGCCGCCATCTTCGCCGCGAGCAGCGGATCCAGCGGCATAGGCGCGACAATCCCACCAGGGCGTCACGAGGCCAGAACATCACCAGGGCGGCAAAAAGCCGAATCATCTCTTGGTCGGACCTTACGCGTGCCAACAGAGCCAGCACGGGACAAAGCAGGATCAGCTTTCTCGAGGGCACGCCCGGACAAGGACTTCGAGGCGAATCCAATCGCGGCGGCAAAGGAAGCGCCCTCATCCAGGGTCCCGTCTTCCAGCCCGTTCTCGCGCGCGAATTCCAGCAATTGTGGCTAACCGTCTTGGGCTCCAGCTTCGCGTCCCGGCATCTGCCTGGAATACTCGGCTTCGCTCGCGCTGATTCCAGAATTACAGCTTGTCGAACTCGTCTGCCAGAGATCGCCGGGATCGGACGTGATGACTCCCAAACTGTACTTGGTAGCCTCGGGATCCAGCTTGGACCCTCACATCTGCCCGAGTTCACTGGCTCCGCACGCGCTTTTTTCCTGCATGGTAGCTGATCGCATCGGGCGCCAACCTGACTTCCCAGGTCCGCTGGAGATCGTTGGCTTCGCACACGCTGATTCGGGGATGGTGGCTGAGCGCATCGGACTCCAGCTTCGCCTCCCGCATCTGCTGGAAAACGCAGGTATCGCGCGCTTATTCTGGAAGAGCAGCTAAACGCCGTGGGCCCTGGACCGTGCCGCACGTGCTGATCCCAGGGGATTGGTCGGGGAGGCTGTCGGACACGGCGTCGGGGGAGGGCCCGGCGGGCCGCTGGCACGGCGTCGGGACGGCGCATCCAACCGCGGCCGCCACACACCCGGCGGCCGCGGCAGCCACGTGGGCGACGGTGGCTGCCGCAGACCAGAGCCCAGCAGCGGACGCAGTCACGGCAGCGTCGGCCGCGGCACAGGCGGCGGCGGCGCCGAACGCGCCAACAGCACCCGCAGCGCACGCGGCGCGGGCGGCGCGCGTGGCATTCATTGCGCCAGAGGCGCCCGCGGCACCGACGGCGCGGGAGGCGCCAGCGGCCCCAGCGGCGCCCGCGGCGCCTGCAGCAGCCGCGGCGCCGGCGGGCCCGGCACCAGTGGCAGCCGCGGCGCCTCCCGCGGCGACCTCGGCGTGGGCAGCAGCGGCGCCAGGGGCGCAGGCAGCGGCCGCGGCGCCTGCGGCATGGGCGGCAGCCAGCCATTGGCGCCAACGCCGCGCCGCGGCGCTCTCTGTGGGCCGAGGAGGAGCGTGGACGGAGGGAGGGAGGGGCGAGGCTCCGTCCCAGCACCCTCTGGGCGAACTAGAGGCGGGGGCCGCCTCCAGCCCCGCGGCGCGCCGCTGCGGATCCTTCGAACCAGAGCAGCTTGAGCCAAGGGCTACAGAAGCCAAGGGAAATAAAGGAAGGACGAAAGTAAAAGGAAGGTGGGAAGGAGGCATAACGGCGACTGAGGTGAAGGAGAAAGCGAAGGGCGCGGTAGGTGTCTCCCTCGCCATAGTGTCACACATTGAGATGTCCGTTGGCGGTTGCCATGTCCCTGCCACCGCCGAAACCTTGCGTCCTCCGCAGGATGTTTTCGGTTTGGTGGGGGATGTTGTCACCTGCAGTCTCTCCTCATCCTCGTCCTGCGGCAGGAACCAGGTGCCTGCAAGGGGAGGCCACGACCTGAGATTTTCGTTTCCGCATGTTTCCCCTCATCTGCACCTCCCTCCTCCTCCTCCTGCTCCTCTTCTGCCATCCTGCTCTTCGGCTTCGTGCTGAGGCCATCCGCCCATCTGCAGCTAGAGAGCTCATATAGCAATCAGATCGAGAGTGGATTGACAGATGATTTGCCCTCTCCTCGCCTCGAGCTCTTTTGCGCTTGCCCTGGTCTCGTTCTCAAGTCTGGTCATGGCTCCTCCGCCATCCTGTCGGCGTCACCCCAACATACCTGTACTGTATGTGCGTGGCCCCCCCAGGGGCGACGCGCGCACCGAAACATCTTGTAGTATATGCGTCGTGGCGGGTGCTTTCTGGCCACGCCGCTCGGGAAACGATATACTCTCGGACGCGCGCCTCCAAGGAGGACATATAGCAGTAGTATGTTTCTGTGCGTCCCATACTGCTCTCTGCCTGCGGGCGCGCGGGCCCGACTGCACCACATGCTGCGGGGAGTGCCCCGCGCGCACGGGAGGGCTCGCTCCCCCCTCGCGGCCAGGGCCCAGCACGGCAGCAGCAGCTGCCCGGGGGCTTCGGGCCGCCGCTGCTGGGCCGCGGCGGCTTCGCTTTCTGACAAGGTCGCGGCCCAAGTCCGGAGGCCTTCTCCTCCTCGCCTTCCTCGTTTTCTTCCCGTCGGCCTCCTTCGCTGCGATCACTCCTCCTCAGCCCTGCTTCCTTCTCCCTTCCCCCTTCCCCCTTCCCCAGACAGTGAAACTGAGACCGCAGCCGTCGTCGGTGTCGGCCCTGCGCGCGTCCCACTACGGCCATGTGTCCACAGAGAGTTTCCCTGATAGGCGTCTGGGCAGTTTGGTGTTCCCGTTTGGTCATCCTCGTCTTGTTTCGGCGTGAGCGTTTTACATCATTTTGTCCATCCGTGTTTTCTCTTGCACCGGTAGCCTTTGCGCTTCTGCGTAACACCTCCGCAACGTAGATTTTGACCATGGTGATAATATGATCAACATTATCTGCCCGATTCGTTGTCAGTGGGCGTACGTACCTTTTATTGGCTTTCCCCCCATGGTAGAATTCGCATGTTGATTAAACTCTGCCTTAGGAGCTACATCCTGCAGCAGGCTCTGAAATTGCAGAGGTGTTTCGGTTAGCACACCCGTGTGAGCTAGTCTGATGTCACGTGGTGCACATTGTAGGGAAGTCAGAAGGTTACGTGTATAGTGCATCAAGTGGCTCGCGGCCGAGACAAGCATGGGGGGTCGTGTAGTGACATGCTGAAAAAAAATACGCTGGATTGACGCGCTGTGGACAGAGAGACAGCGAGTGGCGGAGGGCGAGGGTGAGGAGCAAATCACCCGCAACTCCGAGGGGCGACTCGCACTCCCAATGCGCTTCGTGCAACGTCTGCTAGTTGGGGCGCTGTCCTTCGGAGAGGGCATTTGGACTTGGGCCTTGGCCTCTGAGAGTCTTGCTCAAAACGCACGCGGTGGGAGGAGAAAGAGGCAGGGGAAGAGAGGTATCGACAGCAGCAAGGGCGGGAGAAGGATGAGGAATGTCGAGGGAAGGATGGTCTTCCATGATGTTGTTTGGTGGAAGAAGTAGGAGGGAAAGTGTTGCCAAGGGTTTCCGAGAGGGTGATGTTGTTTCAGCGGCGCTGCGAAAGCCAGCGGGACATTCTAAGGTCGGGATGCGCACCGCGACCGGGAATCGACAACGCTCTTGACGCGTGCGGCATCGACCGACTAACTCGGAATCAATCATGTTGCCCACGCGCATGGCAGGAGAAAGTGGATGAGCGAGTTGCTTCATGAGTTTTGTGTACTTGACGATGCTCAGTGGCGTTTATTTACGGGCTCGGCTTGACGATGCTCAGTGGCTCATTCTAGCGTTGTCGGCTTGAACTTGGCCCCCACGTTTACGTTCAAGCACCACAGAGGGACGGCATTGAACGCATCGTAGAATCAACAAGGGCTTGTGGGACCGACGACAGACGTGCTGTGCGAAACAGTGGCCCCATCTCTAGGGCATGACAAACAGCAGAGTGCAAGGTTGGACGAGTCGGCCGTAACTGTCCGCACATCAAGACGTTGCACCGTAGTGTTGGGTTGGGCGCCCGGTAGCTAGGCGCCCAGCGCTTCCATTGAGCATTGCCGCCTGTTTTCAGCGATAGCCAGTATGTCAGGTGTCGCGTTGTCTGCTGTACTTGCCGATGTGATTTCGCAGGTCACTGCCGAGTCCAGTGTGATATTGCAGTTGCTCCCCCAAGGATGATTCATAATCGTGCGCGTACGTTTGCTCTGCAGCTCCAAATCTAGTGACCATATGAAACACTGTTGACGGACGGCGCCGCGCAGAGTACGAAACGCATGCGACGGCAATATGAATTTCACATATCCGGACGGGTTCGGTACGAGTACATGAAAGGCTTTCTTCCACGCGACAGTAATTCGTGACCAGCGAGGTACCGCATTGTGCGACTTCTTGTTTTGCGCGAGATCCTCGCGATGCCAAGATTTCGACAGTCCATTCCGACCTTCATGCCCCCAAACACCGCTGCCGTCCGCTTCGCGTTCCGTCATAGTGCAAGGTTTGATCACTCGTGCGCCACCAGGTCATTCCAGATGACAAATTCGGGAACGCGCACGAGGGAAAAGCTAAGCGGACCGAGTCTGCAGGATGGGGCCGCACGACAGAGCCACAACATTCATCATATTGATTTCACAAGACAGTGATTTGGCGTGGAGCGGGCCATATGTTAGAATGTCAAGTTTGAATGCTGGTGGAGTGCCATTACATGTCGGTATCGCTGATATACCCGATGCCACGGTGAGTTCATGCTATCTGGCGATAATTATACTTTTTGTTGTACATATATATATATGTGTATATATGCATAGACGTATATACGTATATATATATATATATATATATAAAAAAATGCATTCCGTTGTGAAGCAAATCTGGCCAATGTCCAATACGTATATATTGCGCTCCTGAACAGCGAATTGGAATCCATGCGTTTGCAATTCTGAACCCGTAACGTGTTAAACATTCTAGTGTACACGACGGCAGAAACATATCAGTGCGCGCTTCTGTTCTGTACTCTGATGACATTGAAAAGAAACGACTATGCTCAATACGTTTCTGGTGCAATTCCGATGTGTCAGATGTTCTGCATGGTCAGGTGTCCCGGCACATGAGTTACGCAGTTTTGTATGTGACAGAATGTATGTTGTGTCAAAATGATCTCGAACGTCTGTCCGTATTTGGTTGTACTCGCATATCAACATAGGCGCACGTAGATGAAGCTTTGAACACACCGTCATACAGGCAGTCGCAGACACATGCTTGGGGGCGCATGCGGCTGGGGTAAGGATCTTCCCAGGGGCTGGTAAGGATGGACGATTGCTGGCCGTGCGCTACCCTTTTCCGCTTTCACGGCACACCCACTTGGTGGCACGCGTAATTGCCCGATCCAGCGCCGTGTGAGCTCTGCTCAAGTATTCAATCGAAGGGAGTGGTGCCCGCAGTGCGTTTTCCGCACAATGGCAATGGATGTGTTTTGCACATGTTTGTGACAGATCCTTCCACCGTAATTTTGCAACCGCTGGCCGCAACGAACTCTGCCGGTTGGTCCTATCGAACATCTTTTGATGTTGTTTGGGTTCATGAGGCGATCGACATCGTCTGATTTACATAAGAGTGTAATTCAAAGTGTGGGAACCAACCGCCACCAAGCCAGACCCTCCAGATCTTCGGGCCTCGTGGACGTCCCTGCCAGGCCCCCCAACCCGTGGGGGCCTTCCCTGGCTTCTCCTCCCCAGCTTCCGCGAGTGGCTCCCACACGCTAACATGAGGCAGAGGGGCCTCGCGGGTTGCGTCCGGCTGGGGTGGTTTGGGGTCGGCTTCCGTGCTTTTCTAAAGGGTACGGCCAACCCTCTTCCTCCCCGGGCTCCGTGCATAGCGCACGTTCGGCCTCCCGACATATACGCCATACCCCAGCGGTGGCTGCCTGGCTCCCCGCACTTAAATTAGTAGCGGGCGGCCCGGTACGCAGATTCGTGGCAGCGGCAGAGGTGGGCCAATTTGGCCCCGTCGGCGTTGCGAGGCCAGCCCCGCGCATCGGAGTTCAGGGCGTCTTTTAGGAGGAGTGGCGTGGGCTCTGTCATCCTCTTGTCCTGGCAGGTTACCCGGTGCTTCGGGCACTGGAACTGGCCCTGCACATCCACCCAGCCGACCGCTTCCGCAACACAGGGGAACCAGTCCTCGTCCTCGCTGACCGGGTCTGGCCGAGCGTTGGGGGGTGGCCGGACGTTTGGGCGTGCTGGGTTCCGTTGACGGCACTGACAGCAGCCCCGATCCAGCCGAGTTAAGCAGCAGCCCCGGCACCAGTTCACTGCCCACCGCCTCATCCCCGTGAGGAGGCAGAGGAAGGGGTTCCCCGCTGTGCGGTCCTCCGCCAGGTCGCGGAGATCCCGGGCAGGGATACCCGTGTATTTCTGGATGTGGTGCGCGGTGAGCTGGGTGACCCCACATCCGTCCCCTTCCCAGCAGAGGTGTACCACCTGTACAGGTGCCCGTTCCACGGGCCGGAAGATCCCGACAGGTACAGTCGACCACCTTGGAGTAGGGGAAGTCCTGGCCGTGGCGCTCCGCTTGCTGGATGGGGGCCCCGTGCAGCCCCCGATCCAGCCGCACCCGTTCCCCTTCGATCTCGGCCACCACGTGGTTGGGGGCACGGGGGTCTTGGTCCCCCCGGGCCTGGATCACATCCCGGTAGAAGTCGTCGGCAGTCCGCCCGCTTGGGCCTTGGCATTCCAGCTCCATCGGGAATAACCGATCATCCTCCACCATTGTAACGCATGTACGGAGGTGTAAATTCTAGACGCTTCGCGTATCCCCACCAGCCCGTCCAGAAATGAGTCCCAGGGGAGTGGAGGTTATGAGGGAAGCGGGGGAGCATGCAGAAGAACAAAGGGCGGGGTGAGCCGCCATATACCCCAAGAGGGGGAGGATGTAGGAGGAGCCGTCGTCGTCGGAGTAGGAGGAGGAAGAGGAGGAGCAGGAGGAGGAGCAGGAGGAGGAGGAGGAGGAATAGAAGGAGGAGGAGATGGAGGACTGCGAGGACGAGGAGGACGAGAAGGAGGAAAAGGAGAAGGAGGAGGAGGAGGAGGAGGAGGAGGAGGAGGAGGAGGAGGGGGAGGGGGAGGAGGGAGGAGGAAGAAAAAGAGGAGGAGGAGGAGGAGGACAATTGCGAGCTTGGGGGCCTCTTGGGCCGTCCTTGGGGCCTCTTGGCGGTCCCGGGGGCCTCTTGCGTATCTCGGGGAGCCTCTTGTGGCCTCTTGGGGGTCTCTTGGGGGCCTCTTGGAGGCCTCTTGGGGGCCTCTTGGGGCCTCTTGGGGCCCTCTTGGGGCGCTCTTGGGGCGCTCTTGGGAGCCTTCGAGGCGCTCTTGGGGCCATCTTGGAGGAGATCTATCAAAGAAGGGGGGGTCCCCAATTAGCGCTGCTCCTCTAGAGTGCCTCGAGTCGCCTCTTGGGCCCCCCCAAGAGGCCAAAATCCTTCCAAAACCTAGGTAAAATCAATGTTTTTTGTTTTCTCGCCTTTTCGCTCTTGGACCCGTCTTGGGAGCCTCTTGGGCCTCTTGGGGGTCTCTTGGGAGCCTTTTGGAGGCCTCTTGGGCGCCTCTTGGGGCCTCTTGGGGCGCTCTCGGGGCGCTCTTGGGGCGCTCTTGGGAGCCTTCGGGGCGCTCTTGGGGCCATCTTGGAGGAGATCGATCAGAGAAGAGGGGGTCCCCAATTAGCGTTGCCCCTCTAGAGTGCCTCGAGTCGCCTCTTGGGCGCCCCAAGAGGCCAAAATCCTTCCAAAACCTAGGTAAAATCAATGTTTGTTGCTTTCTCGCCTTTTCGCTCTTGGAGCCGTCTTGGGTCATCTTGGACTCTCTTGGGGCCTCTTGGGGGTCTCTTGGCAACGTCTTGGAGGCTTCTTGGGGGCCTCTTGGGGTCTCTTGGGGCCCTCTTGAGGCGCTCTTGGGGCGCTCTTGGGAGCCTTCGGGGCGCTCTTTGGGCCATCTTGGAGGAGATCTATCAAAGAAGGGGGGGTTGCTTATTAGCCCCGCCCCTCCAGAGTGCCTCGAGTCGCCTCTTGGGCCCCCCCAAGATGCCAAAATCCTTCCAAAACCTAGGTAAAATCAATGTTTTGTGTTTTCTCGCCTGTTCGCTCTTGGAGCTGTCTTGGGCCATCTTGGACGCTCTGACACCTCGCGACCGGCCCCGTCCAGGTCAGTGGGGAGGGGTAGGGGGAGGGGCAAACCCCTCCCCGAAGGGGAAGAAGGGGGTTGGCAGAGGAAACTCCCTAGACCACCTACGCCCTAAAGGGCTGGTGGGATTTCTCCTGTCCACCCATAGGGGTTGCTGAGCGGGCGCAGGACGTACCCGTCGATGAAGCAATTACCCCCCAAGGGCGACGAGAAGGACGAGGGCCGCGGAGGCAAAGAACTGGGCCGTGAAGTCCTTGGCCGACGTCCAGGAAGATCCAAGGGCCAGGTATGCCAGCCAGTCCAGCAGGGTCAGGGCCCCGCCTCGGCCTGGGGTACCCCACCGTGGGGCGAGGCTTGACCGACGGCGGCTGATGCCCATTCGGCGTGTTCTCCAAACCAGCTCCCCCAGGTGTCATTCGACTTGGGCGCCCGAGGGGGTCGCGTGCCCCGAAGAAGCGCAAGGGCT